GCAAGATATAACAATTATAAATATACGTGCACTTGAACTATTTTGAAATACATAATTTATGGAATTGAAGGGAGAAAGACAATTCAACAAAAGTAGTTGGAGACTTTAGTACTCTACTGTCAGTAACTGATGGAACAACTGGACAGAAGAGTAGCAAGTGTGTAGAAGATTGAAGAACAGTATCATCCTGATGTAATGGATGCACATATAGTACATACTCCACTCATGAACAGTATAGTATACCTTCTTTTCAAGCAAACATGGAACATTCTCCAGGATAAACCATATATAATACATATAAAACATATAATAATGTTAATACATTTTAAAGGATTGAAATAATAAAACATACTTTCTGACTAAATGGAAGTTAACAATAGTTGATTTAGGAAATTGATAAATATTTGGTAATTTCTAAATGACCCTTTGGTCAAAGAAAAAATAGGAAAATTAGAAAATATTTTGAAGTGAATATAAATAAAAATATCATATTAAAGTCTGCGCTAGCAGGGGCACCTGGGTCTCTCATTTGGTGAAGTGTCTGCCTTTGGCTCAGGTCATGATCCCACAGTCCTGGGATCAAGCCCCATGTCAGTCTGTCTGCTTGTCGGGGAGCCTGGTTCTCCCTCTACCTCTCTGCCATTCCACCTACTTGTGTGCACTTGCTGTTTCTGTCAAATAAATAAATATGATCTTTAAAAGAAAATTTAAAAAAGAATCTGTGCTAGCAGCTGAAGCAGTGCTTAGAAGAAATGTCTGTTTTGGACGACTGGCTGGCTCAGTTAGTGGAGTGTGTGACTCTTGATCTTGGGGTTGTAAATTTGAGCCCCATGTTGGATTTAGAGATTACTTAAAAATAAAATCTTAAAAAAAATAGAAGAGATGTCAAATGTTTATATTAAAAAAGAGAGAGACCTCAATAATCTAAGCTCTCACCACAAAAAAAATCTATAAAAAAATAATAAAGCCAAAGACAAGCAGAAGGAGGAAATAATAGGGTGGAAATTAATGAAATAGTGAACAGAAAAATGAGAGAGAAAACTATCAGTAAAACTAAAGTTGGTTCTTTGAGCAGCACCTTGGTGGCTCAGTCAGTTAAGCATTCAACTCTTTTTTTATTAATTATTTTTATTAACACATAATATATTATTTGCCCCAGAGTTACAGGTCTGTGAATCATCAGGCTTACACACTTCACAGCACTCACCATATCACATATCCTCCCCAATGTCCATAACCCCACCACCCTCTCCATACCCCAACTCCCCCCAGCAACCCTCAGTTTGTTTTGTGAAATTAAGAGTCTCTTATGGTTTGTCTCCCTCCTGATCCCATCTGGTTAGCATCCAAATCTTGATTTTGGCTCAGGTCATGATCTCAAGGTCATAAGATCAAGTCCCACATGGGTTCCATGCTGAATGTGGAGCCTCCTTAGGATTCTCTCTCTCTCCTTCTCCCTTTGCCTCTCCTCCCCACTTGCACTCTCTCTTTAAAAAAAAAAAAAAGAATAAAGAAGTTGGTTCTTTGAAAACAACAACACAACTGGCATACCTTTAGGAAGACTAAGAAAAAAAGACACCAATCGCTAAAATTGAGGGAGGGATGTCTAAGCAGTTTAGTTGATTAAGCATCCACCTCTTGATTTTGGCTTAGGTCATGATCTCAGGGTCTTGGGAACCAGCCCTGCATTGGGCTCTGCGCTTAGCATGGAGTCTGCTTGAGAATCTTTCCCTCCCTCTGCCCCTGCTTAACATGCTCCCTGTCTAAATAAATAAATAAATAAATAAATAAATAAATAAAATCTTTAAAAAAAAAAAAAGAAAGGGAAGTTACTGCTGACTGACCTTCAGATATTAAAGATTACAGTAGAATACTCTGAAGAACTGTATCCATCTTAATGTAGATGAAGTGAACAAATTTTAGAACATCACATATTACCAGAACTGACTCAGAGGAAGTATAAAACTTGAATAGACCTATGAAAAGGAAAGAAATTGAGTAACATAGTATTCCTACAAAGAAAGGCAGAGACCCAGATGGCTTCACTGGTAAATTTTATAAAATGATAAGAAATAATACTAGTGTTCATAAATTCTTCCCTGAGGAATTTTCAAAACCAGAAGCCCAAGATATCACATGGATAGAAAAACAGACTAGTATTTTTCATAGACTATAGATGCAAATTCCTTGTACAAAATACTAGCAAAGCAAATTCAATGGTATATTTAAAAGATTATCACTATGACAGTGTGAGATTTTTCCCAGGAGTAACCAGATTTGTTTAATATCCAAAAATCAATCAATATAACATACCATATTAATAGAAAGAGTTAAAACCACACAGTCATGCCAATAAACATAGAAAAGGTATTTGACAAGATCCCATATCTGTTGATGATTAAAACTCTTAACAAGTAGCAGTAAACTTCCTCAACTTGATAGAAGATGTCTCTGAAAAACTACTAGGGAATATCATAGTTACTGGTGAAAGACTGAATGTGTTTCCCCTACAAGTAGGAACAAGTCAGGGATGTTCACCTGACTTCTTTGGTTCACCACAGTACTGGAGATTCTAGCTAGTACTGCCAGGGAAGAAAAGGAACCATAAGATATCCTGATTTGAAAGAAAACATTAAACTGTCTTTATTTGCAGGTGATGCCATCCCCTATATAGAAAATTTTAAGGAATCTTAAAAAAAAAATTAGAACTAACAATTAATTGTTCAGGTGGGCCACAGAATAAAATGTCAGTATAAAAAATTATCTTTCTAAACATGAACAATATATAGCCTAAAAATAAGATTCTGTTCAGAATAACATCAAAAAGAATAAAATATTTAAAGAATACATTTGATAAAGTAAGTGCAAGACTTGTACACTGAGCATGACAAAAATTTGCTGAGCAAAATTAAATCAGATATAAATAAATGCAGACATTTTTGTTCATAGGTTGGATGACATAATATTCTAAGAGAATTCTCCTGCAATTGAGTTATAGATTCAACTCAATCTGTGTAAAAATTCCAGCAGGCTTTTTCCCAGGAAATGATAAGCTGATCGAAAATTTATGTGGAAATGCAAAGGACAGGAATTGCCAGAACAATCTTACAAAAGAACAAGGTTGGAGGATTTTTTCTACTGAATTTCAAAATTTTAAAGCTACAGTTAGTTATGGGCTCCTGGTTGGCTCAGTCGTTAGAGCATGCGAGTCTTGATCTTGGAGTTTTAAGTTCAGGTCTCTTGTTGGGTGGAGAAATTAACTTACAAACAAAATCTTAGGGGTGTCTGGGTGGCTCAGTTGGTTATGAATCTGTCTCTTGATTTTGGCTGAGGTCATGATCTCGAGGTCACATGCCCCATGTCAGGCTCCTTGCTCAGCAGGGAATCTGCTTGAGATTATTTCTCCCTCTCCTTCTGTCCGCTCCCCATAAATAAATCTTTTAAAAATAAATAAATGAAATCTTTTTTCTTTTTTTAAAGCTACAGTTATACAAGACGTGCTGGCAGGAAGTAGACATATATAGATCACTTGATTAGAATTATGAATCCAGTAGTCAGTTCATTTTCAACAAGGGTGCTGAAGCAGTTCAGTAGAGAAAAGGTTTGTTTTCAGTTCTTGCTGGGACAACTGGATGCAGCTCCATCCCATGCAAAAAGATGAACTTTGACCTATGCTTCACACCAGACAGAAAGAATAACTTAAAATTGATCATAGACATAAATATAAGAACTAAAACAAAGCTACAAAAAAATAGAGGAAAAATCTTTAAGACCTTGGAATTGTCAAAGGTTTTTATGAGGTTATAAGAGAAAAAGATAAATTGGACCTTATCAAAATCCCAAATTTCTGTGCTTCAAAATGTACTATGAAAATAAGAAAGGCAAGCAACAAAATGGTTAAAATATTTGTAAAACTTTTTTTTTTTTTAATTGTATCCAAAATTTTCAAAGAACTCCTGTAAAGGAACTGGAACCATCATATATTACTAGTGGGAATGTAAAGTGGTACAGTCAGCAGTTTGTCAGTTTCTTAAAAACACAAAGTTACCTCATGATGCAGTAATTAATACTTCTTAGAAATCTACCTGAGACCCAAATACATGTTCTCACAAAGACTTGAATGTGATTGTTCATAGCAGTATTAATTTTCGTAACCAAAAAGTGGAAACAAATGTCCTTCACCTGGTGAGTGGGTCGACAAAATGTGGAGTATCCATATAATAGGTAATATTCAGCAATAAAAAAGAATGAACTATTGACATGTGTTAAAACATGGATGAACTTCAGAAATTTTATGTAAAGTGTAAGGAGCCATACATAGAAACCATGTATTGTCTGAAAGGAATGTATTGTAAGAAAAGGTAAATTTATAGAGAGAAAGTTAGATGTAGTGATTGCCTAGGGCAGTGAGTGATAGGTAAATGGATCTTACTGGGATGAGGAAACTGTTCCAAAACTGATTTATGGCTATGGTTGCATCACTGGGTAAAGTTACTAAAAATCATTGAATTATATACTTAACAGTGAGTAGGTTTTATTATATGTTAAATGTGTCTCAAGAAAGTATTTTTAAAAAGCAAATGCAGGGAATTATATAGCATTATCTTTAACCAGAAGCCTAAAATGTTTATATCACCTTTTTTAAAAACAAGGTACATCTAAAATGTAAGGATACATTTTTAAATTTTCAGTTACTTTGAATGTTTAATACTCTGGTTTTAGAGCCAGGATCACTGGAAATACCAGTGGAACTCCCTTTCAGACTGATGTTGGCATATGTGTATATACTTTTTATGCAGCCATATCTCCTAGATTGAAAACAGAAAACCTACTATATCTTTCTTGTTTTTGAAAATCATAACACTTTTCTGCTGTTATAGGTTTGATACTGTTCCTTCAACTTTTGATGAAAGACACCAAAACCATTTAAAATGAGCTTTGCTTTCTGTTTCTTCATTTACTACATTTTTCTCTTTTTGTTCTGTTTTACTTTGTTTTAGATCACTGTGTCCACTACTATGATCTTCGTAACACTAAGCAGCCAATCATGGTATTCAAAGGACACCGAAAAGCAGTATCTTATGCAAAGTTTGTGAGTGGTGAGGAAATTGTTTCTGCGTGAGTATTACTCTCCTGAGGTTAAGCTTAATACAGAGCTCTGTCATCATTTACCAGTTTTATAATGTCACTGTGGGTATCTGTAAAGAGCAACACCGTGGTATATGTACTTTTTCATAAATAGAAGATTTTAAAAATAATTCTCTAATTAAAATAAATGTATATTTTGGATTGTTTTGCTCACTTTTTTATGCTTTTTATGAATAAAATCCTGATGTTGATAGTTTTTAGTGCTTCAGCATTTGAACTTCAGACTGGATTTCAGCCACTGATTCTCCATAAGAGAAAAACAACATAGTTGATGGAATAAAATGAGAAGTATTTTATCTATTAAAATCAGTGTGTTATTGTGTATTTACCTACATTACAGTATAGTAGTAGTATTTTTGGTTTTAGGTAATATTTGGTTGATTCTATGTTACTTGGTTTCCCTGTGGTTTCATGGTAAGTTTTAAATATGTTTCGGGAAAATAAGTAAATATGGCTTATACTTGACAGATATCCTTTGAGAAGCGTTCTGTGCTAGAGAATTATAATGTAGGCTTTTAGTTGTCTTTTGTTTGAAGGTTAACAAGATGTCATCTCGATAAATAAACCTCAGTTGCCAAAGTATCGTTGACAAAGTGCTTCTAACAGGCAATCTCTTTTCTGTTATCCCATTTCATAGTTCTTTTTATTTTATTCATTTTTAAAAGACTTTATTTACTTATTTGAAAGAGAGAGCACTAGCAGAGGGAGAGGGTGAAGTGGGCCCCTCGCTGGGCAGGGAGCCTGACACAGGGATCCATCCTGGGACCCTGAGATCATGACCTGAGCTGAAGGCCAATGCTTAAGTGACTAAACTCCCCAGGCACCCCCTCTTTATTTTTTTATTATTATTTTTTAAAAGATTTTATTTATTTATTTGACAGAGATCACAAGTAGGCATAGAGAGAGAGAGGAGGAAGCAGGCTCCCCACTGAGCAGAGAGCCTGATTCGGGGCTCGATGCCAGGACCCTGGGATCATGACCTGAGCCGAAGGCAGAGGCTTTAACCCACTGAACCACCCAGGCCCCCCACCCCCTCTTTATTTTATATTACCCTAACAAATAACCATTCTTAATTTCTCTCTTTTTTGTATCTGTTATTTCTTTTCATGCTTCATGATACATTGCTTTCTTCTTTTCACTCCCCCCCCCACTTAGTTTCTAATCTCTAATCTTAGGAGATTATTAATGCCAGTGCCTTGGCATTAATACTTGGTATCTCCCACCACATCTACCTCTATTCTGGTCTCTCTAGATAATAAGTTGGTAATTGGAATTGATTTAGCAAGGTAATTTGAACTGAATTACAAACAAGGGGAAAAAAGTGAGAACTGAGTTTTCCAAGGTAAACAAGGGAACTTAGGTAATTAATTCACAAACTTAAATTAGTGTTAACAGATCAAAATGTATCCTGTCTTTAGGAATAATAATGGGCAGTATACAATTAAAATTTTATTCAGATTCAAATGTGGATGGTAGATTATATGGCAAAAATATTTTTCTTTAACTTCAGATTTATAAATGTTAAATCAGTCTGATTTCCAGTAGTTGAAATATATGTATACTTAATATTATAAAGTTAGGAAATTTTAATTGACCTTATTAATGTGGATATGTTTTTTGTATTTTCACCGATCTCTTGTCCTGCTTAAGTTTTATAAATCATGATTTTCTTTTCTTGAATATGTTTGAGGTTTAGAAGTTTTTAGAATAAATTTATCCACAACTTTATTTGGAAATGTTAAAAAGTAATATTAAAATATACATATATTGCCACAATGTGAATTCCTGGCCAATAAAAACATTACAGACCTAAAGAAATATTCAATGCAGCATTGTTGGGAAAAAAATTAAAACAGCATAAATGTCTATTGAAAAAATGATGAGAAGCCATAGAGAAGTATGTAAAGAGCTTGGAGTTTGGCCTCTTTAATAAGACAGTTTCAGTCTTGTCTCTGCTGTTGACTAGCTGTGGTACCTTGAAAATGTCCTTAACTTTCTCATGTTCAGTTGCCTCATCTCTAAACTAGAGCTAATAATAGTTATTATGTTGTGACTCTTTAAATGAAGTAATAAATGTAAAGCATTCAGCATGGTACCATATTCTGTGAATGTTACAGTAAGAGGAAAGATGATTTATTGTGTAGTCATAACAAAGATATCAAAATATGTTTATTTTACAGAAAAATTATAAACCAAATTATCGAATAAAGGATAAGCAATTTGGGCATCTGGGTGGCTCAGTGATTAAGTGGCTGCCTTCCGCTCAGGTCATGATCCCAGGACCCTGGGATCGAGGTCCACATCAGGCTCCTTGCTCAGCGGGAGGCCTGTTTCTCCCTCTCCCACTCCCCTTGCCTGTGTTCCCTCTCTCACTGTGTCTCTCTCTGTCAAATAAATAAATAAAATCTTAAAAAAAAAAAAAAAGGATAAGAAATTTACAACCTAACGTGTATGGTATGATTGGAATTTTGTAACAAAAAGAAAAACAAAAACGTGGTCTTTTATTCAAGTTCTAAAACTGGCTCTGTATGATAAGATTACCAACAGTCTTTACATTCAATTAATTTTTGGCAAATAATTGCATTTGCCTATTATTTCAGTAAATAAATTACTTTATATAGACTATTCCAGTCATTCATTATGTTCCACCTCTGTAGATACAACTAAGCTGTCACAATAGGTTAAATTTAGTATACCAATGCAGTTCAATAGTTGAAAAGTTAATCAAGTCAAGTGGGATAGAGGTATCCCTGAAATTAAACACAACTCCCAATGGGACTCTTGTTATTTGGTGGTGGTGATGTGATAGTCTTGATGAGTAATGTTTACTAGTAAGCACTTCCTACATGCCCAGGGACTATTAGAAACATTTTAAATGAATTAGTTTTCACGTCCTATAGAATTTATCTAATTCAATAATGTAGGAATCACTCTATTTCACAAATAACTAATGAACAAAATGGAGCCGAAGAGGCTATATAATTTTCCCAAGGCCAAAAGCAAATGAATGGTATATTGAACATTATAACTCAGAAAATCTGGCTCCATATTCTGCATCCTAAGGCACCAAACTGGATTGCCTCTAATTAGTAGGGATGCATTTCAGACCATGAAATCTTTTTTTTTTTTAAAGTTTTTATTTATTTGACAGGCAGAGATCACAATTAGGCAGAGAGGCAGGCAGAGAGGGAGGAAGGGAACCAGGCTCCCCGCTGAGCAGAGAGCCAGATGAGGGGCTCGATCCCAGGACCCTGGGATCATGCCCTGAGCCGAAGGCAAAGGCTTAACCCACGAGCCACCCAGGCGCCCCCAGACCATGAAATCTTAATTGTATTCTCCTTTTTTGTGTTTACCTCAGCTCAACAGATAGCCAGCTAAAGCTGTGGAATGTAGGGAAACCATACTGTCTACGTTCCTTCAAGGGTCACATCAATGAAAAAAACTTTGTAGGCCTTGCTTCCAATGGTGATTATATAGCTTGTGGTAAGTAAAACCATCTTTTCCTGAACACTCTAACAGGAATTTGTCCCCGAAATTGCATTCAACGAACATATACTATATACCTAGTCAGGAAGTGATCTGTACATCCAGAAAGTAGCATACTGAATTCTTCTGGGATTGTGCTGAAATAAGCATTAGTCCTTCCCTCCTTTAGTGAGCACAAACCCTTGCTGCGTGAAATAGCATAAGATTGTTAAATATGTTTTATAATTGTTCTCCATTGTAACTAATTTCTATAGATACTATGTAAAAGAAAACATTAATTTCTGCTAATGTCCTAATTTCAGAGACATTATTTGTCTTCCTAAGCTTGATACTCATTTTCCCCTACAGAGCATTCCCTTCGTTAAGCAGTTTGTTTAGATTATCCTGATCTGGTATTCTAGGGCTTTTGTTGTTGGTAATTTATACAACTTTACATCAGAAGTAGAAAAATCAAATTAGGTAATGTTCAAATGCATAATACACCTACTGTCTAATATACGAACTTTCATCAGTTCTTTTCAAATGACTTGACCTTTATTTAGTAAAGTTGTATTTATAATGTAAGCCCTGCCAAAGCAAATCTCTTATAATTATTTTACTTGATAGGCTACTCAAAAATATAGTTTCCCTTATAGGCCAGTTATGTAATAGAGTGGTGTCTTTATTGGGGAATGGTACATAAATTTTGTAGGTTATTAAAAATCTGCCATTGTAAGTACTATAATCCCCCCCTCCCTAGAAATCTTTCTAAGTGTCATGTAAGATTCACACTGTAATAACAAATTTCTTGTCTTCTTTAAACCTCTGCTATAAATGAAAATTTTGGCAGTAATTTTAACCTTACAGTTATCAATGTTGTTAAATCATTTACCAGTTATTATTTCTTTAGATTACTAAAGTATAGCTTTTTTTCTATGATTCTTTTTCTCACGTGATTCCCAAGAAATCCTGTGCTCTGGTCTTTCAAATTCAACCATAAAAGTTTTGTCTTTGAGCTTAAACATTAATTAATAATTATTCTATGAATGTGACATCCTAATTCTGAATTCTCCCATTCTAAAAAATTATTTATTTAAACATTTTTTTTCAGGAAGTGAGAACAACTCTCTTTATTTGTACTATAAAGGACTTTCTAAGACTTTGCTAACTTTTAAGTTTGATACGGTCAAAAGTGTTCTGGATAAAGACCGAAAAGAAGATGATACAAATGAATTTGTTAGTGCTGTGTGCTGGAGGGCACTGCCAGATGGGGTAAGTGTTCATGTCAGTTTTTTCTTCTTGATGTCTCATATAACACTTTCTGTCTATGTATTCACATCTGAATTTTTTTAAGTTTAAAATAAAAATTGATATGTGACACAGATTTTCTTTTTTGCTTAGTATTGCATCATCAAAGTCAACAAGCATTTTAGGTAGTAATTGAAATATCACTAATAGAAGAGCATCACACTGATAAAATGTCTCTCCTGTGTGCCCATAGCATATTGTACATACCTCTGTTTTAGCATTATCACATTGTCTATTTATATCTCTAAGACTGGAAATTTCTAGAATACATACTGTGTCTCATTTTCCCTAATGATCATTTACAGTATATACTTAATAAACATTTAGCAGAATCTGGTATTGTCTTAGCAAGAAAAAAATTGGATGTAGGTAAAGGAGAGTGTCCTGTATGTACACCTAATTAAATATTATTTCAGGGCAGAGTTCCTCTCTATTTATTTCAGGGCAGAGTTCCTCTCTATAAATGCACTTATATAATGCACTTATATAAGAATATTTAAAAACATTTAATTTCTTAATAAGAAAGTTGTACTTCTAAACTGTGAAAAAAAGTTTTCTTAAACTTGTCACTTATTTTATTTTTATTTTTTATTTTTTTTTAAGATTTTATTTGTTTGACAGAGAGAGAGATCACAAGTAGGCAGAGAGGCAGGCAGAGAGAGAGAGAGAGGGAAGCAGGCTCCCCGCTGAGCAGAGAGCCCCATGCGGGGCTCCATCCCAGGACCCTGAGATCATGACCTGAGCCGAAGGCAGAGGCTTTAACCCACTGAGCCACCCAGGCGCCCCAACTTGTCACTTATTCTCATAAGCTATATGATACAGTAGTTCTTTTTATTATCTTGATTTTTATAAACAGTCATTCACTAATGTCATCTTCTTGAAAAAAATAGCTCTTTAGGTGCTTACTTGGTTGTTTTTATTTTTGAACCAAAAAATTCTTTCTTGATGGGTGCTTTGAGAATTCTGAGTTGCTGATACTATTTGACTTTGATTAGCTATATTCCATTCCTATCTTATTTAAAGTTCTGTTAATCAACTTCCAGTTTGGGCAGTGGTAGACTAGGTGATTTATACTAACTAGAACTAGAAAAGTTGGACCAAGTGTATTTATTTTAAAACAACAACATAAACCTGTTCAAAGACTTTGGAATGTAAGTAAGATAGAAAAGAATTAATGGCATAGGAATGGAAACCTGGCTTTGGAGTATGCTTTTCCTCTGGGAGCCTTTGGCACTCTTGGTAGAATGGCTGAGAACACTTATGGCAGCTTCACAGGGGGACACGTATTAGAATTTAGTGCTCACCACTACGTGGGTGAACTTACTTTGGTTTAGGGCTCCAAAAAGGGCTGTAGTCTAGGGTAAACCAGTAGAAGATAAACTCTCAAAATGATTGCAACTCCAGATCATATCAGTCCTGAAATTAAATTGAAATGATCCTGTATTGCTAGTTAAACTTAAATCCTCTTTGAAAGAAGATCTAAAAAAGATCATCTGGGAATTTATTTTGTTTTAAATTGCAAATACAGTAACTAAGTCACAGTAAATAGCAGACAGACATAGGAAAAGGCAAAATGTTGTGAATAAATTTAGCCTAAACAGTGGACAACAGGAACAAAATCACAGCAGCCCTGGATATCAGAATTATCAAATGTAGCTTAAAAATAACCATGCTGACAAGATAAAAGATAAGATAGAAAATTTCAACTGGGAAGTAAAAAATTATAATTCCCCAAATTAAGAACTCAGTGGATGGATTGTATGGAAGAAAAGAGAGTCAATGAACTTTCAGTATGTTAGAAGAAAATATACAGAAGGAAGCATGGAGAGAAAAATAGGATGAAAAAAAATACAGAAAAGAAATGAAGGATGAAGTAAGAAAGTTTAATATATTCAATAGAAGACCTAAAAGGAGAGAAAAGAAATAATACAACTGAAGCAAATATTAGAAGAATTATCGTTCAGAACTTTATAAAATTGATGAAAGACATCAAGGCAGAGATTCATTAAGCCCTTGTACCCCAAAGAGTAAATTTACAATGTGAGTAGAGATTTAATATTATATTTGGACCATGAAGAGACTTAAGTGTGCCTGAAACTCTGACCTTGGATCTGCTTTCTCATGGTAGTACTTCGTGAAAATGCGCTGAGTTAGGGACAAACATGGAATATTATTGCTAGCAGCTAGTTATCTCTTAAATTTACTATGAAACTCCATCTGTACTATTGCACGTGGACTTAGAGAAATGTGAGTTGGCATATCGGCTTTACATCTATCCAAAGTGAGCAATATAAGATTGACAGGAAACCAAGGCACATCTCTGTATCTAGAACCCCATGTACCCTATATGTCCTTAGCAAATATGCATACTCTTTGTGTGGGTTCAGGAGATATGCAAGAGGCTATGCATGTGTATAGTTGCTTGCCCTCCTCATGAGTTTGAAGATATTGTGCATGCTGAATTTCCTATCCTATATACCTCTATAGAGCTAACTAACCTAGTGGAAGACTAAAGCTAATTGTGTCTGGTCCTGTGACCCCTGCTGGTGGTAGGACAGCCACACCTTGATACACCATAATCAAACTTTAGAAAATAAAATGCAAAGGGAGTTTTTTTTCCATTTATTTATTTGTCAGAGAGAGAGAGAGAGAGAGAGAGAGAGAGAACACAAACAGCGATAGCAGCAGGCAGAAGGAGAAGCAAACTCCATGCTGTGCAAGGAGCCTAATGTGGGACTTGATCCCAGGACCCAGGATCATGACCTGAGTCAAAGGCAGACGCTTAACTGACTGAGCCACCCAGGCGTCCCACAAAGGGAGATTATTAAAAGAAGGCAGAGAAAAAGTCACTGTCTTCAGAAGACCAGCAATTAGACTGATAGCCAATTTTTTCATGAAGCAATAGAAACCAGAGGTGGTGGAACCAGATCTTTACTGTGTAAAGGGAAATACCTGCTGGTCTATATTTCTCTAGCCAGTGAAAATCTCTTAAGACAAAAGCAAAATGAAGACATTTTTAGATAAATAATAATGAAGAATTTGCCACCAGTAGACCTATAGTAAAGAAAACCTGAAAGGATATTTTTAAGGCAGGAGGAAAAGATGCAGAACCTAAAGATGAAAGTCACAGATGTCGAAAGGAATGGAAAAAGATGAAGGAATGGAAATGGCAAAAAGGAATAGAAGTAGTAATATGTAGTAAATCTAAATGCCTATTGACTTTGTAAAGCAGTGATACCTTGTTGGATTTAATAAGCACATAGAATTAAGTATTTGATAGTAATAAGCCAGAAGGGTAAATGTGATTAAAATGTTCTCAGGAATTTTCCTTGTCAGGGAAGGAGGTAAAAAAACTAATTAATTAGACTGAAAGGAATGCATATTCTAGTTGATAGGATAACCTTTCTAAAGTAGATTCTTCAAGTATACTACCTAGATCAACACATCAGCGTCACCTGGGAACTTGCTTTATTTACCAGTAAAAAGATGAAAAGTTCTCTAACTCACTTCATAGTCCAGATTTATTTTAAATTTGATTTTTGCATAAGTCACTTTGTGCATGAAAAGTAACTTCATTTCCCTATTTTAGATGAGGCAGAAAGTGTGAGAGAGTCTTATTTATTTAACAAATATTTATTGTATGTAGTCATGGTTCTAGATATGGAGGATAAACTTGAACAAAACTTTAAGAAAAATTCTGGGCCTCTTAGGAATCTCTTAGGAGACTTAAAATTTTATGTGCTGGAGGAGACGGAAAAACAAAATAAATAAATAGTTGTATTAGAAGGTGTTGAGTGACTTGTAGGAAAACAAAGCAAGAGAGTGCGACAGGGAGTGCTGGAATAAGGAGTTGTAGTTTTCAGTGGTGGTGACAGAATCACCTACCTGAGTAGCTGAATTAGAGCAAAGACAAGGACATAAGATGTAATCCATGTTTAAAGGTGGAAGGGTATTCCAGGTAGAGCAAACAGTTCAGAGACCTTGAAGTAAGAAAGTAATTAGTGTTTCAGTGATTATATCAGTAATAGTGATCAGCGATAGTGATCAATAGTAGTGATCAGTAATAGTGGCCTTAAGAAAGGAGTTCAGTGTGGTTGCACTACAGTGAACTAGGTGGAGAGTAGTCAATCTCAGAGTGGGGGAAGACGAACCATTTCAACAGAACATTGTTTACTAAAGTCTGGACTGTAGCTTTTATCCAGTGTGAGTTGGAGCCGTTTTAGGATTTTGAACAAAGGAGTGATTAAATGTGACTTCAGATTTTTAAAAATCAGTTTGGCTTTTGGAGAATAGACAATAAGGTGTCAAGGAACCAATAAACTGCATGTGGAGAGTGAAAGAGAAAAGTCTAGGATGACACTGAGATTCACCCTCCACCCCCGCAGCTTTAGGAGTGGAGTTGCCAGTAACTGAGAAGACTACCAGAAGAAGTGCCTTAAAGGAGAACAGGAGGTGACGTTTAGACTGGTTCAAGTTTGAGACATACTTGTCTTCTAAGTGGATATACCAAGTTTGGAGTTCACAGCAGATTGTGAGGCCAGAGATAGGCATTGATAGCTGTGAGCTTGTTTAAGCCAAGAAATTGGGTGGTATCTCTGCTAGGGAGTGTAATTAGATACTAGAAGTGTGTGAATACCATACTTCAGAGAGTTCCTTAGTGTTCAGTGATTAAAGTGACAAGGAGTAATCAACAAAGAGTGAGAAAGAGTAGTTCTCTCTATAGTAGAAAACTGGTACCTGGGAAGCCGAGTGAGAAAGTTTTTCAAGGAGGCGAGATTGATTGGCTTTGTCAAATGTTACTAATACAAGTAAGATGACTAAAAAAAGTGAAAGGAGTGGTATGAGAAAAATTTGATTGGAGTGGTTTTAAGAAAGAAAGGGAAGGGAGAAGTTGGAGATAGTGAAGTACAGAGAGCTATTTTGGGGAGTAGTAAAACAATACCGTGTTTAATCTCACCTAGATT